AAACGAGACCTTTATGCATTAACCGAGAGGACATAAAAAAAAATCGATGCTAAGCGGAGAGAATATGAAGTAACCGATATCTCAATTTTAACAACGAAGGTGGCTCCATAAGGTTATCGTTTGTAGTGTTGCCCGTGTTAGCGTTTTATTTCGAAAGTTGTTTTTGGGGTTTGGTTTTACTCCTAGTTCATAATTCAGAATTAGTAGACTATGACTATATTTAGTTACATTGCCTGTGAAAATAATCACTCCTCTATGCAAAATTAACCTTTAATCTACATGAATGAAGAGACTAGATATTTCTTAAATAAGGTCTTTCAGTTACTTTTTGTACAACGGGGTAGCTTTGTCGGCGACCACTTTCCATCTTTAGTGCACATCAGCTCAGCATTGCCTCTGAGACGGTACTTGCCGTTACAAACGTACTTGACAATTGAACCAACAGTGAATTCATCTTTTTGAGGCTCAAAGTAACCCTGCCTTATACCGTCGGGTCTTTTACATAATGAGCGTCTTACTCCTGTTGTCAGAAAGACGAAAAACAATTCCAGTTTTAGAAACCTCTTAAACGTGTAAGCTATTGAAGTCAGTAAGTCCAAACCAGTTCAAATATCAAACTATCTTTCACGCAGTTCAAGCTACGGAACTAAGCTAGATCTACATTGTATATGGATGTGTTAAAATGTGTGAGTAAAATTTCCGAGCATTAATACAGTTTCGTACCATATATAAAGAATAGCCTCCCTTTAATTGGCGCCAAAACATGCTCGGATATTTGTGTGCGAACATTATTTGTTCCGATCGAGAGCGTAGCTCGAGGAAAACTGTGAGCTTCGAAGAACAGATAATTTCCAAGGACAAATATCACGCATTTTTTCAAAGTTAAAAGGAGGCTATTGTGTTCATCATATTTCAAATATTATTCGCAACACGCGGGATCTTTTCAAAATTGGCGAATATCACTAAGATATTTCACACTTTTGGCTAGGGCATACTCAGCCACGAGACGCTTTTAAACCAATCGCGTGCGAGCGAAAATATTATTGTATATTATTATGGCTTTACGTGCCAGCCGTGCGTGTTCTCAGATGGTGCGTGTCCAGAGATGTGTTCCTTACCCCTTTCTTTCTTGTGGCGTAATTTTTCTTGGGTGCAGACTATCTTGTCATTAAGCACTTTCACACAATATATATCTGTGTCTGGATTTATGGAAACAGTGTTAAAGAAATCACACCCCGCTGAAGCGGTTGTTCTCGTCAGAGAAAGTAGACGATATAAAAATTACAAGGAATGTCAGTCTTTTTTCCTTCACTCTCTTATCTCCCCTTTCTTGATCTTCTTTTTATTTTGTTATTTTATGTTATTTTTCGTCGCTTGGAGTGATTTTAAGGCCTTTAGAAGTCGTGAAATTAAGGTGCGTATGGGTGATTTGGTGCAAAATACTGACACGGTTTTCATAAATCCAGTTATATATGTATCGTGACAACTTTGCACAGCTCACCTGATTGACACGTGGGAGGCTTTCCATTCCACTTGCCATTGACACACCTGATAATGCGACTTCCAATCATGATCAGTGTCTTGTAACCTCTATTACACGTGTAAAAACCGTATGAATTTCGTAACCTGACTGTTCCATTGACTATGCTTGGTGGATCAGGACAATCCCCAGTCCGTTTTCCACAAGTCTCACCAGTAAATCCACGAGCACAGGTGCATGTGAAGGCATCGACCCCGTTTGTACATGTTCCGCCATTTTGACATGGAGTAGAGTCACAACGGTTGTGATGCAGTTCGCATAATCGTCCTGTCAGGTCAGGTTTGCACACACAAGAAAAACTGCTGTTATGATCCAAACACGTTGCACCATTTTTGCATGGATTCGAATCGCACATCGTAGCGTTACACAGATTTCCTGTACAGGACGAGACTTGGAAGAAACGATTCACATTGAGTATCGTCAAGCATGTTACAAAAAGTCGAACCACTTCTTCACGACGGCCTGGAGTTTTGTCCAGCTGCCCGTTCAACAATCTATATGTTCGTTACACCTTTTCACAAAATAAGCCTGTCGCTATATAAAAAAAGACCTAGTTCAAAGCTATGTATTTCATAATATACAACTGCCGTATATTTTTGGTAGTAGCTTCTCTCCAGTTACATGTACCCCTTCCCTACCATTTCTATTTATCTGCCACCTTTACTCCCTATCTGAAACATGTTTAATCATAAGCATCAGCTTAACACGTGAGACACATGGTTCATTTTTGTATCTCTGGAATAATCAAGACCTTGCAGTTTACTGTATTGCTTAACTCCATCAAACAATATGCAAAATCAAGTTCTTTTCTTACCTGCAGCAATGGCGTAAGTAGAAAATCCTGCTAGGAAAATTGTGCTAGGAATCAGTATGGATGTGAAAAATGTCATCTTCTTTATCATCTAAAGAGCAGTAAGAACGGCTTAGATTTGCAATAAAGAAGACAGACTGAACCTAAAATGAAACTGAACCAAAGGTAATTCTCAAATAACGTCGTTACGAATTCACACAAGACCAACTAAAGACACCCCCTTGACCTCGCAGTGGAAGTCGTAACTTTTATCATAGACGAAGTCCCAGTGAAGAAAAGGATACCCGAAGCACGAAGATATCGTGTTATAAAACATGATGTCCTTCTAAATTGAGACTCGGTTCTTAATTTTCCCGACCTGACTAGTAATCAACACCATAAGTTTGTCGATTGTCACCGATTTCCGACAGCAGTCGAAAATCGTTTGTTAATTGATTATCGATTTACTGAGCAACTACGCCAGACAGAACCAAGAGGGTAAAGATAGACATCAACAACGGGACCATAACAAAGGAATTGTCTTGCAGTTGGCATGGTAAATTATATCTAGAGATTTTTCGAAATCTTGAGATCAGTGCGGACCGAGTGAAATCAGGTAAACAGAATGCCAGGAGATCGTCGCTTGATTGTACTGCATGAAATATCTTGCGTGCCTTTCCCTTTTAGCTGACTACAGTGCCATGTAAAGTTACTTGCTATTTCTGCGGATATACAGTTGTGTAGACTTGAAGGGCAATATCTTCGAAGACATAGTCAAGTACTGATGAACGCAAGATGTACTCGGTAGGCTATAAATAAAAATTACGATTACAGCTTAGCCATAACAGATGAAGCAAGACGTTTATAACTGAGCATACACATACCAGTTACAGTGGACGATCGTGGACGCTTAAAACGTAATCCGAGCTTCGGTTTCAGTGAAAATCTTCAGAAACGTGTGGGCTCTAGTCTTCCTTCAGCTCTTGTTTCGATGACGCGTTCAGCTGAATCCGGTCAAAGACTATCAGTTATCTGTCTGACACGTGCGTCACGCCATATCTTTGCTGTAACAATTTCAAACACCATGCTGTTGCAAACAGTCGGGTCGCTTGCTCATCCAAGATTAAGACGAGTTCCATGCTGAAAGCCAATTTCCCAAGTATGACAAATGCAACCTAGGAAGTTTTTTAGTGAAAAATGATGGATGAAAATCAAGAGAGAAGTTGCGAGATTCACTTAGACATTTGTATCTCATGAGGCATTAGCCCCTCGCCCGTTTGTGCCGTCTAGAATTTCTTTTATGTGCTGGGTTGTTTGTTTTAGGGTGATCAGTAATGGTTCCGTTTTCAACAACCTTCACCCAGGTCGGGTTAACAGGTCAGTTCCTTAAACAAATAATAAAAACATGATGTTTCATTTATATCAGCCTGCAAAACTGACTACGTCTTGAGTGGTAACTTGAAGTTTCGTCCCATGCCTAGAGTAATTTTTCAGTTGAACATTACTGCCAGATCCCGGCGAGGGAGAGGGGGGGAGGGGAGGATCTAAAAAAGAAACAGGATAACAACACACTTTTTCATATACCGGTAATTATCATTATTTCTGGTCAGTACCCAAACCAAAGGAAATACAGTTTTGAAACCGCGTTACAAAACCTTTTGATATGTTCTTGTTCTTGTTTTTTTTATGTTTTAGGCTTCATTTTTATCACATGCCGTGTCAACGTCTCATTTGAAAACAACTACTCAGCTTGTAAACCCAATGCACCTTTATTTCGATAAGAGATAGTGATTATACTTAACGTGACGCCCTTCATTTTAACGGTGAAAATAGTACATTCCTCCTGTGAAAACAGAGGATACCTTTATGTTAAGTGATAGCCTCAAAACAAGGTCACTATAAAATGTGTAGCTATAGCCAACGAGTATTACATTACATTTTAGGAAGTATCTAAGTTTCACAGAAATTACTGTTCACTAATCGTCTCCCGTAGAAGTTCACTTTAGACCTATCTATACAGATATTGAATAACTAACCTTTTAAAAAAGGTTTACAGTTGATAAAACTGTTATGTAGTATTTCACACGAGGTAAACTGAAAGAAAAACAGATGAAACAAGATCTCATAGCTATTTGATACACCATGGAAAAAAAAAAAACATTGAATCGAATATTAAAACAATTGTATATACCGCACGTGGTTGCCTACTAACATTACTAAACCTTTGGTCCTTTGGTACATGTAGGAACCGACTAGGGCGTTTTTAAGGCACAGACGTGTTAGAGAAGGACGTGAACCGGCAGTTGAACTTTCTCTTGTTTTGTCCGTATTATTAACTTTTCGTTAAAAATTTCAAGTTCTAAATGATAAGCTGAGAGTTTTCCATCTCACATGTGGAATGTGAATACGCGCCAACAGCAAGAACATAAACTTCCGATGTACCTAAACAGATGTTGAATAACTAATTTTAAGGTTTACAGTTGATGAAAGTAGTCACCACCTAAATTATTCAAAAATCCTAAAAAAATTCAAAAATCCTAATAAAAATTCAAAAAGGTTTTAAAAATGCCCACAACATTTGAAGTGGGATATAATTATATTTGTATTCAAACAATATCACCTGGGCATGTTGCGTGATAACTTTCTTAGAAAACATCAGTTGCCATTTAACTTAAACTGATCTAGGTTGAATTAGTTGTAGAACCTTAAAGCTTGTAACCTCGAAAATTCAACCGATGAAATGATTGTAAATCAATAATAAAAACTTAATTATTTTATTTCCCACTGAAAAAATCCAACCAGGTCATATTTTCAGAAATATGTTATACCGTAAACTGCCACTTATACAACTTCGTAAGGGGTTTTGTGGGGGCTTGGAAACGGAGGGGCTTATAAGTGGAATAAAAAAAAAACCGTTTCGAAACGAGTTACAGCAGTGTTAATCGAAATACTTTTTGCATATACGGGTTCTTAATTAAGCTTTAAAACATCGTAATAATTCGAATTCACTTTATTTTAAACTAGAGGGGGGGGGGGGGNAACATTTAGAAATGAGCTACAGTAGTGTTGATCGAAATACTTCTTTCATGTACTGGCCGTTAAATTGAACTTTAAAACATTATAATAAATCGAATTCATTTTATTTTAACTAGGAGGGGGGGGGGGGGTTTAAGCGGAAGTAATATTTTAATCTACAAGTAGAATGGTCTATAACCGAAGGGGCTTATAAGCGCCAGTTTACGGTAGATAGAAATGAGTGCACCTTGTCACGCGCACAGTGCACATTAATTGTCACGTGCAGTGCTACGTGGACTAACTGGTGATTGCTATGTAAAACGTTTAGTGTTTGAAATCAAAACTTCAGGATAAACTCAAAGGTAGATTTAGTGGTAGTTCTCCGAGAAACAACTATACTGTTGAAATATGTAATTTGATTCAGATAATAAAAGTTCAATTACCATAACTGAGTCTCAAACTGGTGAATATTTGTAACACATGTTGACGGGTTATAGCCTTCAAATGCGTCATCCTTGTTCCACATTGTAAAGTAGAACTCAATGATCCAACAAACTGAAATGATAATTATATAAGTCTTGCGTGTTCATGTTTCTATCATTGCTGGGTTCTGAGACTCAAAACTACCAAGAGCCTAGCTAGAGGTTTCAGTAATATTGACACTCCAGACTGTCCTACAGTTAGCATGTACTCGTAACTTTTAAAGCCATTTAGAAATAGTAGTTAGGTCCAGGCGACGAGGAATCGTTGCGTCTCTGTTGGTAGCTTGTGCTGCTGCTGTACACGTGAACTGTGTTTGTCACAGATGAATTTCCTCCTGAATAAGCTGTTTGGTCATCAGCCTGTTAAAGAAGAAGACATTTTCACAGGAAGCAAGGAAACAGTGAACGGTGCAAGTAATTTCCGGCATAAGACTAACACCCAAATTGTGAGCTACTGTTTGTGACGCGCAATTAATCATAATCAAAATCGTAGTCTACTTCTGTTTAATAAGAGAATGCTCCTGGAAAAAAATACTTAAGGAGCTAACCATGGTATCTAACTGAACGGAAAACAGAGGTCGGCCAATGTTTTCTAACCAAAGAAGGTAATGACTTGGTTTTATACGAGTATTTCCCGGCACGTAACACCGGCTACACGTGTTTGTTCCGAGGTATAAAAAGGTCGCATTTTAACTCCTGTACAACTCTTGAACCACAACTCTTGTGTCGCTGGTATGATTTCTGGCGATAGTTTGGATAAAACAAGTCTTTGTGTGTGTGAAGTACATTCATGTTACCTCCTGCATGAGTTCAGTTTTCCTGTCATTCAAGTGATCCAGCTTTTCACCCAGTTTCTCAAACTCTTTCTCCAGTCGATCATTGTTTGATTGTAAGGTGTCGTTGTTAGAGTACTTTGAACTTCGATCGGAAGCCTTTAAACAGAATAAACACTAAAAGAGTTAAACATGCATATATTGATTGAATAGAAGATTTTGCTGGTGTTTCCTATTGGAAAGTACAAAAAAATAATCGTTAGAAATGCAGGTATTTAAAATAGTTTTTGAGAATCTGACAACCCCGCGCCCCTCACCCCACGGGGGATTACAACACTTTAAGGGGCGGTTTCTAAGCCAAGCCACATTTGTTCTGCTGGGAAGTAATGATGTCGGCTTGGTTCTTGGTGAATGAAATCTTCGTTTATTCTAAAGACATCACTCCCGCTACAGTGTATTCAAAGCATTAGGAATTTCGAAAGACTATTTCCGACATCCTTGGAGCAAAATTTTTTAAAGAAATGGGTTTTTAAATCATTTAAAAATCGAACACAATGGTTTCGAGCAACGCCAGCCATCACGAAAGGTGTCAAGTTGACACTGAAATCACGAGTGCTTATTTCTCCTCAGACGGGAGCAACGCATTCCAGACGATAACTACAATTGTTCATGAAGTCAGCAAAGATAAATCAAAGGTACCTGATGATTTTTTTCTTTTTCATAGTCCGTGTTTTGCTTATTTTACCGCCTAAGATTAATATGTAAATGGTTTGCCATTGCTGCAACTGCTTAAAGTAAGCTTACATATATAGCTAACATGTATGCAGGCGATTACATGTTCGTTTAAGTACTATTTTCCAAGTTTTTGCTTTTTTTCGTAGTCTTTGATATTTACTTCTGAAAGTTATACTAAAACAGTTGTTCGTCAAAGGGGGAGTGAATAATTGACATTCCCTTCGCCGAATAATGACCAATAATTGTTAAATAAGTTCTTGCTCTAGTGTACTTGAATTATAATGCCATTTATATTTCCCTTTTTGAACTATTGCAATGTCTGCTTCGAAATCCATATGAACAAACTGTCCTTTATTTATCAGGCCATTCCTCGATTATTAAGTTTGCTTATTTTGAGCTGCTCGTCATTGTTATGGCTAATAAAAAGGGGGTTACATTCTCAAAAAGCAGCTTCACAACCTTTGTTGCCCGCGGCATTTACATTTTCATTCAGCCGCTTTCGCCAAAACCCTTGTTATTATTCCACTGGCACTTGGTCTAATATGTGCTTAAGGCATACCGTAATTTAACGGTACGATTTTAAAGTACATGTATTTACCTTTTGATCTCCGTTGGTGTGTGGTTCAAAGAATGACACAGGAGGTTTTGAGGCTGTTGCTGCATTCAACTCCTGCGCAGTTTTCAACACTGGACAATTCTTTGCACTGTCCCACTGGACGAGCTCTCTGTTGTAGAACTGGGCCTCTTTTGTTGCGATTTTTAACTTCTCGTTTTTGTGTCTTAGTTCTTGGAGTTCTCGTTCCAGGAGACTTTGTTCTTGTCTTCTTGGACTCGTCGCTTGCGGCTCATTCTTAAGCGTATTGATGTCTCTCCCAAGGCTATAGGCAATCAGTTGTTGTTCGGACAAGACGCGTTGAAGTCGCGTCTTGCTTTCCTGGAGCTCGAATATTTCGCTTCTTAAGGTCGACAAGGTATTCTCATAAGTCTTCCTTTCGTCTTGTGATCTCCTGTAAAATTCTTGTTCGAGGACGATCTTCAGCTCTTTAGTAATCTTTTGTGTGTTTTGCTCGATTTCCATTTTCTCGTGCTCGAATTGGTGCTCCAGCTTGCTTTTCTCCTTCTTAAAGTGTTCTTCTAATTCTGTGACCTTTCGTTCTGCCTTAGCAAGTTTATCTTTTAGCTCGGCAATTGTTGCATCTGTTGTCCTCTGATAAGCTTGAACAACTTGCCTGTTTTCTTCGCGTAGTCGGGTCACGAGTTCTTGTTTTCCTCTTTCGACTTTGTTCTTCCATTCTGCCATGTCCGCTTCGTATTTCTTCTCTAGCTCTCGTTTTTCCCTCGAGAAGGAGTCGGAAAGATGCGTCTTTTCTTCTCTCAGCTTCGAAAGTTCTCGGGACATAGCCTCGAGCGTGACATTTAACAATTCTTTCTCATGTTCCAGTTTTCCTGACAGTTCATCTTTGTCTCTCTGGCTTTGTTGAAGTAAAGCATCCTTCTCTCTTAACAGCATCTCGTTCTGCGTCCTCAATTTCCTTTCCTCGTCCAGCAACTGCTCTTTCTCTGTGCGGAATTCTTTCTCCAGTTTGTAAAGGGAATCTTGCAGTTCCTTCTCACGAGTTGACACTTCCGCTGTTATCTTAGCCTGGTATTCAAGACGGAGTTTCTCTTCCATTTCCTCTCTGTAGGTTTTAAATTTTGCCTCCATATTCAACTTGTCTATTTCAGAACGTTCTATGAGTTCAAGCCTGTGTTTTTCTCTCACATCTGTCAACTTCATTTCTAACTCATACTCTATCTTTCGGCGTTCTTCAGTATAACGGTAGGTCAATTGCTCTTTGGTCCTTTCAATCGTCCTATCTAAGTCGTGGATCCTGCTCTCCAGTTCCGACTTGTTCCTTGTTAGGGTAAGTATCTCGGAGTTATACCTCTCCTCGATTTGAGTATACCTCTTTTTCTCTTCCTGTATTCTTTTGTTGTAGTCCTCGATAAGCTGCTTCTTTTCTGCCAGCAATTGCTGTTGCAGGTCGTTCTTCTCCTTTTCAAGTTCTTTCCGTACCTTCTCTATCTCCTTGCTGGTAACCTCTCTGAAGCACTGCTCGCGCTCATAGCGAACTGTGTTTATCTCGTGTTTGTAGGTTTGTTCGAGTTGGTTCAGTTTTCTTTCACACAGTTCTCTTTCATTTGTTGCTTCTTCTTTCAAATCCTTTAACTGCTTTTCGTAATCTTCCTCTAAAGTTTTCTTTTCCCTTGTAAGAGTTTCTCTTTCTTCTCGATGTTTGAACTGGATCTCGTCTGTTTTTCGTTTCCATTCTCTGCTCTTTTCTTCAAGAATGTAAGACTTCTGTTGCAGTTCTGATCTCAACGTTTCAGCCTTCTTTCTTTCAGTCTCGTACTTCTCCATTAAGCTTTGTAGCTCAAATTTGAAATGCTCCTCGTTTCTTTTCTTTTCTTCAGCAGCACACTCGACAGAATCTTTGAAGCGTCTAATAACGCTCTCTTGCTCACTAATGACCTTTTGCAGTCGTTCCACTTCCCCAAGTGCCTTGTCTTTTTCACTGACGAATTTTCCCCTTTCGGTCTCGTGAGTCTTTTTGAGTTGTTCTATCTCGCGTTTAGACGTTTCCTCTGAGTCTGAAAGCTCTTTAGCAAGTGAATCTAATTCTTCTGTCAGCCTTCTGTTCAGATACTCAAGCTCTGTTATCTTTAATTTTAAGTCGCCGTTTTCTTGGTGAAGCTTGTTCTCCTTGGCTGTCAAACTTTCAAGTTGAGAACGTAAGCGGGACATTTCGTTGAGCATCTCACGGTTTGCTATTTCTAGCTCCACAGAAACCTTTAACTTCGTCTCGTAGTCTTTTATTTTCAAGTTGAGCTCGTTAATCTCCGCCTTATTTTGCTGTTCATTCTCGTTAGCAAGTCGTTCAGCCTCTTCTAATTGCAAACGCAACTGTTCTGATACATTATTCAACTTTCTGTTTTCGTCTTCAAGCTTCTCAATTTTGCTTTTAAACGCGAGGAGTTCCTTCTCCCATTCTAGATTTTGTCTGGTAGCTTCCTCTTCGAGTCTTGCCACAGTTAACGTCAGCTCTCCAACCGTCACAGTAAGCTCCTGCTTCTCTTTTTCCAACATCTCATTAGTTGATGTCTGATCTTCCAGCTTCTTTTTCAAACTAGCCACAGCATCCTCGTGTTCACTTTTTCGGTCATTCATTTGTTTTTCGTGACTGTTCTTTAAATCTGTCATGTTGCTTACATGTTTTTCCTCGGCATTGCTGTACTTTCTTTTCCAATTTGTCACTTCCCTCAAAAGCTCTTGAATTTCATTATGTAGCTTGCCTTTCTCCTGGACTTCTTTGTTCAGCTCGTCTTGAAGTTTCGATACCTGTGACTGACACTTCGATTCTGTCTCCTTTCGCTCTTTGATAATCCGTTCTTCGTAATTACTTATAATCTCCTTCTTGGTCATTTCAAGACTTTGTATCCGACCAAAGAGACCCTTCTTTTCCTTTTCCAACTCGGAGATTTTTTGCTTTAGCGCGGCTACCTGAGCATCAAATTCTTCCTGACTATCTGTTAGGTTGTTTCGTACTCGATCCAAATCTTTTTCTGTTGCTGCCAGTTGCACGTTTTTCTGTTCAAGCTCTTCTTTCATCTGCCCAATAATTTCCTTGAGATTGGCCAGTTCTCTCTCATATTTGATCTTATTGTCTTCCATCCACTTCTCTCGTTTCTTTGTTTCTTCTTTCAGCTCAGCTGTTTCTGTTTTATGACGAGCAGTTTCTTCTTTGTTCTTCCTATCCAGATTTTGGCAACTTTCTGCTAGTCTCTCGTTTTCTTTTGTAAGCTCTGTTATCTTCAGATCATTCTGGTTTTGCAACTCCCTGATCTTGCTCTCGAGATCTCTTACGGTTTGCTCTAGTTTAGAGATGACAGCCTCTTTTTCGCTTTTCAGTTGCTGTAACTTCTGGTTGTGTTGGGTCTTTAACTGTTCTATTTCCTTTCTGAATTGTTTTTCGAGCTCGAAATTCTCTTTTTTGAACTTTTCAGTCATCTCTTCCGTCAAGGCTTTTATCGTTGTCTCATACTGCTCTCTTAATTTTAATGTTTCTTTACGGAGTTTGTCAAGCTGTGCTTGTAGTTTCTTTTTCTGCGCCTCGAGCTTGTCTTTTTCCGCTGTAAAATGGGAATTTCTCTTCTCAAAATCTTGAAGCAAATCTGTAATCTTCATTTCGTACTTCTTCACAATTTCGCTCTGTCTCTCGATTAGTTGTTGTTTTTCATGGTCGAAGTTTTCTTCAAGCTCGCTCTTTTCTTTGTCACACTTCTCTTTTAAGGTGGTTTTAATTTCTGTGATTTTAGCCTTGTAGGTCTCTTCTATTGTTGTACATTTTTTGGTCAGTTCTTCTTCTTTCCTTGAATGAATCTCTTTTAAGGCTTCTTTTTCTTCCCTTAGTTTGTCCAGTTTTAATTTCAGGTCATCTTGCAAATCGGTTATTTTCTTTTCGTACTCAGTTACAGTTTGTTCGTGAGTTTCGGTTAACTGATTTCTTTCATCAGCAAATTCCTTTTCCGCGTCTTCCTTTTCCTTCTCATATTTTTGTCGCAGTTCTTTCTTGGTGTCTTTTATGAGCTGTTCATACTTATCGATACTGTTAGACAACTCTTCCCTTAAACCTTGAATCTTCTCTTTGTACTTTTCCTCATGACTCTCCATGGCGGCTTCTAAATCTGCCAATTTCTTCTCGTATTTCTCTTTGATTCCAGCTATTTGTTCTTCGTATGCTTTCATTGTGCTTGCATTGGAAGCTTTCAGTTCCTCTATCTGTTTTGAAAAGTTTGATTCTAGTTCTGTCTTTTCTTTGTTGCACTTTTCAGTAATTTCTTCTTTAAGCTCCTTTATTTTCAATTTATGCTGTTTCTCTGACTCAGCCATTTCTTGTCTTAATGCCTCTATTGCTTTCTGGTGTGACTCCTTTAAGCTCTTCCATTCATTTTCCATCTCCTCGACTTTTGCATCCAGTTCTTCTTGGAGAATGACAATCTTTTCTTCGTATTCCTTTACCACTGCATTGTGTGATTCTATCAAGGTAGTCTTTTCTTTGGCCAATGTTTCTTCCATTTCACTCTTTTCTTTATTGAATTTTTCCGTCATCTCGTCTTTCGCATCTTTCAGTTGTTTCTCATGACCCTGTTTCAATGCCAGTATTTCTTGTTCCAGTTTTTCGATGTTGGTTCTATTGGTCTCTTCCAGTCGTTCCTTTTCTTTCTCTATCTGAGCTATCTTAACTTCGTATTCTTGCTGCATGCTAGTGATTTTGGTTTCATAAGCTTTGATCTCCATCTTATGACCTTCAATCAGTTCTTCTCGCTCTTTCATAAAGTTTGCTTCAATCTCGTCTTTCTCTTTTTCCAATTTTTCTAACAGCTCTTGCTCCAGAACTTTCATGTCTTCTTTGTCCTTTTGTTCAAGGGTCGTAAGCTTCTCCTGCCACGATTCAATTTCCGCAGCATGTTTATCTATTAACTGTGTTTTCTCTGCCTCCAATTTCGTAATAGCCAACTTGTTTTCCTTTCTTATTTCTTGGATTCGGACTTCACTTTGCTGGATGAGTTTCTTGTATTTGGCGATCAATTCTTGCTTTTCTGTATCGAACTCGTTTTCCATATCATTCTCCTTCTGTATGTACTCCATCTTTAGCTTATCCTGAAGTTCCTTCATCAATAAGTTGTGGTTTTCTTCAAGCTCTTTGCACCTCCTCTTCAACTCTGCTATTTCCTCCAAAGAACTATTGTAACTTGCCTCAAATTTATCCTTCTGAGTTTTGAGTTGTTCTAACTGTTCTTCGTATTGCTGAGTGATAGAAGTTATCTTAGCCTCGTATTCTTCTAGAGCCTTTTCGTGTGCTGCTATAAGCGACTCTTTCTCTTTTGTGCACGCAGCTTCCATCTCACCCTTTTCTGCTTGGAACTTTTCCGTAAGCTCAATTCTCAAGTTGGCCAGCATTTCTTCGTATTGCTTTTCAAGAGCAGAGCATTTCTCGCGCAGTGTTGTTACCTGTGTAGTGAGGCTAGCATTTTTCTTTTCTAATTTTTCTTTGTCGATTTTTAGTTGCCCTAGCTTCGTTTCGTAATCTTGCTGAATCTGCACTATCTTGATCTCATATTCCTTTGTGCTCTTCTGATATGTCTGCAACAAGGCCTCGTTTTCCGCTCGCAGAATCTGTATCTGTTCCTCGAAATTATCTTGCATTTCATCTTTTTCGCTCGAAAACCTTGCCTCCATCTCTCCCTTCTCCATCTTGCACTTGTTCGTGAGCTCTCTCTTTACATCTTCAATCATTCTAAGATTCTCTATCTCCATGGCGGAAATTTTCTGTTTGAGTCGTTGAACTTCTCTTTGGGACTCATTGTACTTTTTCTGCCAATCGTCTCTCTCTATTTTAAGTTGCCCGAGTTTGACTTCGTAATCCTGGATGATCTTTGTTTTGTTAAGTTCATATTCGGTGACAGATTTTTGGTACATATCGTTAAGGGCTTTCTTCTCTCCTTCCAGCGTTTTTATCCTTTGCTTGAGGGACTCTACTTCTGCACTGTTATCCATTGGAATTGTTCCCACGACCTCCATGTCCCAAGTTCCCCCTTGGTCTTCCATTGGCATTTCGTTGGTGACCACAGAGTAGTTAGTAGGCTCTACGTAGTAAGGACCTCCCCAACCATCTATTGGTTGTGACTCATGAATTTCGACTCCAGACATCTCGGTTATTTTCTTGCTAACTGAATTTAGACGATGGCAAAAAATTTATACGTGGATTCAGTAAATTTATAACGATCGTTGCAAATAGCATTATTTATTTAGAATCATTATTCTTAATCTTTGCAACGATATTCTAAAAATAGGTTGGTGTACCCTGCTACTCCTGAGAAATCCAATGAGTTAATGGCTTAAAGGGACATAGTGAGCTGGCGCACATGCTCATTAGATACCATTTTATAGCTAATTTCCAAACTGTTTTTAAGCAAATATGAAAAAATAATATCATAGGATGACCAAAAGCACACTCAAAAACAGATTTTTCAGTAAACGATTGAAAATCAAGTTAAACACTGCGAAGATTGAAGCGGATTTCTAGATGTACTCGACGGGTATCTTTGATTTTAGGTTGAGTTGAACTCTTTTCAGAAAAAAAGTGTCCAGGTCAACGCGATCCCAAAGCTGAATGTGTCCCTTAAATTGACCACATCGCGCTGTTACATATTTTAAATAGCATATCTGCGCAAAAGCAACCATCAGATGTAATGTATGAAAAAAATCAAATGTCGCCAACATCTTAACACGTACAGTGTATTCCACTAAAATCTTTTTTTTCAGTCCATCACAAATATTAAGGTTTAATGGAGGGCTTACAGTTAGAGATAGGTCTATGCTGAGATATATGTTTGATTGCATCTAAATATTTCATGGTAAAATGGTTTTTAAAAAAAAGATTTTTAGAAAGGAAAACGTCAAAAGAAAATTTAAGTATTGAGATTAACAACAAATATTTTGTCTGAATATTTCATTAACCGTTGATAAACAGTTGCTTTTTAAACAAGTATGTTCTGCGGACTAATTTTCGAGATAGGAAATGAGTACCTGTACTTTGAAATATTGATTGAAATGGGCATATTAATAAGACATTCAAAGCTAACCTCGAACCATTTTTACTCCTTCAGCTATACCAAAATCCTAACCCTAACCTATTTCGTGACATGTAAAATGATTATGTCCCGTTATATTGTACAAATGCTATACTGATGAAGCCAAAGCTTTTCGCATATTGTAGCTAACTTACCTGAGTTAAAGTTCTGGTGTTCCTTCTTTAAATTTTGATTCCTTGGCACTCTTTTTTGCGCACTATAGCTACATCTTTATCAAAACTCTCTTATCAAATGCTTTGGAAATTCAAACTGTTAAGAAAGACTCAGTTGTTTGAAACTCACGGTAAACAGCGGACAAAAAGGTCGACTCTGCTGTTACAACTGGAAAGGCTTGTTGCAGGATGTAAACAGTTCGGTTACAATTTATGTTAATATTTTTAGCGGTACCAAATTAATACAAGACATCAGCCAATCAGAATAGCGTTTGAATTCCCCTTATAACAGGTCACGCGGTGCTGTCACTTGATTATATGAATAATGATGATAATGTATTACATAAGCGCGCGGGGACTGCCTGAACCGTCAATGAAGGTTGAAAATTTCTCAAATTTCTATATTGAATCATTTTTTAATTTGTTTTTCTGATGATGAAATACGTGACGGTTTTAACAAACTTTTAAACTGAGACTGGAAGAGAAATATCTGCCAACTGAACCTCATGCAATCTAATTGAAAGCCGTAGGGTATTAAAAATACGTGAAACCACAAAGCCCTGGGGACATTTGGAAGAATAAACTAAAGCCAGTTGCTACTTTTGCTTTCCTTCCTGTTAAGGACGTTACGGAGCTTCCTCTGTACATCTGTATCATTACCCATTAGCCGGTACCATTACTGTTCCTACTCAAGGGTATAATTTCTCATGTTGACTGGTTGGTCATGATGTTATATTAAAGGGAGGTAATTGCTATCTAAAGGGGCGGTACCGGTTTCTGGATTTAGACTACAGGTGGTTTGGTTAATTCTAATTGAACCCCAGCCAAATCAACCATCCAGTGGTTAATCCTCTCCACAACTGAGAATCTGAAGTAACATATCACTATGTAGTCCAATTACCACCAACTGACGCGTTTCCGATGAGCGGACGCTACCTCGTACGTTTTCAATACAAATAATTAGTTTTTCGTTTTGTGAGTCCATTGAAGAACTGTAAAATCTTTAGAGTTCGCGCTCTAATAGAAACTGATTGATGTTGCTAATGAAACGATTGTTGAAGGGGGACAAATTGACGTCTAAAACGAGCCGATAATGAACAAGGAAGGTGTTCGCAATTACACTTTGATATCTCCCTTTGGAAAATAAGGAAAAATCTTATCGGCGTTTTCCTAACGGTCATTGGCAAAACTGAAAACGGAATGTTTTTTTAAAAAAAAATTATAATAAGGTTGGGCTGATGCCTCGCACTCGCTCCAAACCTTTCCGTACATCCCAGTTAAAGCGGCTTAGGGCTGAAACTGTTTTCGGTTCAAGAACTGTGAAGGGCAATGAAAATTTGTTTGGGGCCGAAGTGTTACATCTTGCCGGGCCTATCTTGGTCTCTGCACAAATAAGCGACGTGAAGTATTTCGTCTTCCCCTCGATGGGGTGTTAGTCCTTCATAGGGTTACCCACAACATTAAAATTCGCCGGTACCCATTTATCCACCTGGGGAGAGAGAGGCAATGTGAGAGTAAAGTAACTTGCCTAAAAACATGAGGCAGTGACCCCTGCCAGGGTTCGAAGACGCACTCCTTGAACAGCAGGTTTAAGTTTATAAGACTTAATTAGATGTGGAATTGGAATAGAAAATGCTCCAATTATTTGAATTACTTATTTGCAGAAAACATTCCCAGAAATTAATTAAGTACGTAAAAAAGTAATTGATTGATTAATTGATTGATTGATTGATTAACTCGAAGATCGATAGCTACACTAGAGAAGACAAAATTACATCGATGTGACTACTCTGAAAACCCTTTATTTACCTTGAATAATAATAAAAGTAAAAGATGTCCGATAGCGCTTAACAGTGAACAAATTTCTTAACTGGTTACCTAAGCTACAAATTACAAATTATAAAACAATAAATTACAATCATATTATAGCAAAATTTCAATTCAAACAATTCAATTAGAAATGCAATAAAATCCTTGACAATAGGATGGCCTACGACTCAATTATACAATTCAATTATATATTTAAAGATATCAAGTTAATTTCAATAAAACAAGAAAAAAATAACCCATTATATTTGGAGACTGTCAATCAGAACTTGACTTCACCATTGCTGCAACTGCTTAAAGTAAGCTTACATATATAGCTAACATGTATGCAGGCGATTACATGTTCGTTTAAGTACTATTTTCCAAGTTTTTGCTTTTTTTCGTAGTCTTTGATATTTACTTCTGAAAGTTATACTAAAACAGTTGTTCGTCAAAGGGGGAGTGAATAATTGACATTCCCTTCGCCGAATAATGACCAATAATTGTTAAATAAGTTCTTGCTCTAGTGTACTTGAATTATAATGCCATTTATATTTCCCTTTTTGAACTATTGCAATGTCTGCTTCGAAATCCATATGAACAAACTGTCCTTTATTTATCAGGCCATTCCTCGATTATTAAGTTTGCTTATTTTGAGCTGCTCGTCATTGTTATGGCTAATAAAAAGGGGGTTACATTCTCAAAAAGCAGCTTCACAACCTTTGTTGCCCGCGGCATTTACATTTTCATTCAGCCGCTTTCGCCAAAACCCTTGTTATTATTCCACTGGCACTTGGTCTAATATGTGCTTAAGGCATACCGTAATTTAACGGTACGATTTTAAAGTACATGTATTTACCTTTTGATCTCCGTTGGTGTGTGGTTCAAAGAATGACACAGGAGGTTTTGAGGCTGTTGCTGCATTCAACTCCTGCGCAGTTTTCAACACTGGACAATTCTTTGCACTGTCCCACTGGACGAGCTCTCTGTTGTAGAACTGGGCCTCTTTTGTTGCGATTTTTAACTTCTCGTTTTTGTGTCTTAGTTCTTGGAGTTCTCGTTCCAGGAGACTTTGTTCTTGTCTTCTTGGACTCGTCGCTTGCGGCTCATTCTTAAGCGTATTGATGTCTCTCCCAAGGCTATAGGCAATCAGTTGTTGTTCGGACAAGACGCGTTGAAGTCGCGTCTTGCTTTCCTGGAGCTCGAATATTTCGCTTCTTAAGGTCGACAAGGTATTCTCATAAGTCTTCCTTTCGTCTTGTGATCTCCTGTAAAATTCTTGTTCGAGGACGATCTTCAGCTCTTTAGTAATCTTTTGTGTGTTTTGCTCGATTTCCATTTTCTCGTGCTCGAATTGGTGCTCCAGCTTGCTTTTCTCCTTCTTAAAGTGTTCTTCTAATTCTGTGACCTTTCGTTCTGCCTTAGCAAGTTTATCTTTTAGCTCGGCAATTGTTGCATCTGTTGTCCTCTGATAAGCTTGAACAACTTGCCTGTTTTCTTCGCGTAGTCGGGTCACGAGTTCTTGTTTTCCTCTTTCGACTTTGTTCTTCCATTCTGCCATGTCCGCTTCGTATTTCTTCTCTAGCTCTCGTTTTTCCCTCGAGAAGGAGTCGGAAAGATGCGTCTTTTCTTCTCTCAGCTTCGAAAGTTCTCGGGACATAGCCTCGAGCGTGACATTTAACAATTCTTTCTCATGTTCCAGTTTTCCTGACAGTTCATCTTTGTCTCTCTGGCTTTGTTGAAGTAAAGCATCCTTCTCTCTTAACAGCATCTCGTTCTGCGTCCTCAATTTCCTTTCCTCGTCCAGCAACTGCTCTTTCTCTGTGCGGAATTCTTTCTCCAGTTTGTAAAGGGAATCTTGCAGTTCCTTCTCACGAGTTGACACTTCCGCTGTTATCTTAGCCTGGTATTCAAGACGGAGTTTCTCTTCCATTTCCTCTCTGTAGGTTTTAAATTTTGCCTCCATATTCAACTTGTCTATTTCAGAACGTTCTATGAGTTCAAGCCTGTGTTTTTCTCTCACATCTGTCAACTTCATTTCTAACTCATACTCTATCTTTCGGCGTTCTTCAGTATAACGGTAGGTCAATTGCTCTTTGGTCCTTTCAATCGTCCTATCTAAGTCGTGGATCCTGCTCTCCAGTTCCGACTTGTTCCTTGTTAGGGTAAGTATCTCGGAGTTATACCTCTCCTCGATTTGAGTATACCTCTTTTTCTCTTCCTGTATTCTTTTGTTGTAGTCCTCGATAAGCTGCTTCTTTTCTGCCAGCAATTGCTGTTGCAGGTCGTTCTTCTCCTTTTCAAGTTCTTTCCGTACCTTCTCTATCTCCTTGCTGGTAACCTCTCTGAAGCACTGCTCGCGCTCATAGCGAACTGTGTTTATCTCGTGTTTGTAGGTTTGTTCGAGTTGGTTCAGTTTTCTTTCACACAGTTCTCTTTCATTTGTTGCTTCTTCTTTCAAATCCTTTAACTGCTTTTCGTAATCTTCCTCTAAAGTTTTCTTTTCCCTTGTAAGAGTTTCTCTTTCTTCTCGATGTTTGAACTGGATCTCGTCTGTTTTTCGTTTCCATTCTCTGCTCTTTTCTTCAAGAATGTAAGACTTCTGTTGCAGTTCTGATCTCAACGTTTCAGCCTTCTTTCTTTCAGTCTCGTACTTCTCCATTAAGCTTTGTAGCTCAAATTTGAAATGCTCCTCGTTTCTTTTCTTTTCTTCAGCAGCACACTCGACAGAATCTTTGAAGCGTCTAATAACGCTCTCTTGCTCACTAATGACCTTTTGCAGTCGTTCCACTTCCCCAAGTGCCTTGTCTTTTTCACTGACGAATTTTCCCCTTTCGGTCTCGTGAGTCTTTTTGAGTTGTTCTATCTCGCGTTTAGACGTTTCCTCTGAGTCTGAAAGCTCTTTAGCAAGTGAATCTAATTCTTCTGTCAGCCTTCTGTTCAGATACTCAAGCTCTGTTATCTTTAATTTTAAGTCGCCGTTTTCTTGGTGAAGCTTGTTCTCCTTGGCTGTCAAACTTTCAAGTTGAGAACGTAAGCGGGACATTTCGTTGAGCATCTCACGGTTTGCTATTTCTAGCTCCACAGAAACCTTTAACTTCGTCTCGTAGTCTTTTATTTTCAAGTTGAGCTCGTTAATCTCCGCCTTATTTTGCTGTTCATTCTCGTTAGCAAGTCGTTCAGCCTCTTCTAATTGCAAACGCAACTGTTCTGATACATTATTCAACTTTCTGTTTTCGTCTTCAAGCTTCTCAATTTTGCTTTTAAACGCGAGGAGTTCCTTCTCCCATTCTAGATTTTGTCTGGTAGCTTCCTCTTCGAGTCTTGCCACAGTTAACGTCAGCTCTCCAACCGTCACAGTAAGCTCCTGCTTCTCTTTTTCCAACATCTCATTAGTTGATGTCTGATCTTCCAGCTTCTTTTTCAAACTAGCCACAGCATCCTCGTGTTCACTTTTTCGGTCATTCATTTGTTTTTCGTGACTGTTCTTTAAATCTGTCATGTTGCTTACATGTTTTTCCTCGGCATTGCTGTACTTTCTTTTCCAATTTGTCACTTCCCTCAAAAGCTCTTGAATTTCATTATGTAGCTTGCCTTTCTCCTGGACTTCTTTGTTCAGCTCGTCTTGAAGTTTCGATACCTGTGACTGACACTTCGATTCTGTCTCCTTTCGCTCTTTGATAATCCGTTCTTCGTAATTACTTATAATCTCCTTCTTGGTCATTTCAAGACTTTGTATCCGACCAAAGAGACCCTTCTTTTCCTTTTCCAACTCGGAGATTTTTTGCTTTAGCGCGGCTACCTGAGCATCAAATTCTTCCTGACTATCTGTTAGGTTGTTTCGTACTCGATCCAAATCTTTTTCTGTTGCTGCCAGTTGCACGTTTTTCTGTTCAAGCTCTTCTTTCATCTGCCCAATAATTTCCTTGAGATTGGCCAGTTCTCTCTCATATTTGATCTTATTGTCTTCCATCCACTTCTCTCGTTTCTTTGTTTCTTCTTTCAGCTCAGCTGTTTCTGTTTTATGACGAGCAGTTTCTTCTTTGTTCTTCCTATCCAGATTTTGGCAACTTTCTGCTAGTCTCTCGTTTTCTTTTGTAAGCTCTGTTATCTTCAGATCATTCTGGTTTTGCAACTCCCTGATCTTGCTCTCGAGATCTCTTACGGTTTGCTCTAGTTTAGAGATGACAGCCTCTTTTTCGCTTTTCAGTTGCTGTAACTTCTGGTTGTGTTGGGTCTTTAACTGTTCTATTTCCTTTCTGAATTGTTTTTCGAGCTCGAAATTCTCTTTTTTGAACTTTTCAGTCATCTCTTCCGTCAAGGCTTTTATCGTTGTCTCATACTGCTCTCTTAATTTTAATGTTTCTTTACGGAGTTTGTCAAGCTGTGCTTGTAGTTTCTTTTTCTGCGCCTCGAGCTTGTCTTTTTCCGCTGTAAAATGGGAATTTCTCTTCTCAAAATCTTGAAGCAAATCTGTAATCTTCATTTCGTACTTCTTCACAATTTCGCTCTGTCTCTCGATTAGTTGTTGTTTTTCATGGTCGAAGTTTTCTTCAAGCTCGCTCTTTTCTTTGTCACACTTCTCTTTTAAGGTGGTTTTAATTTCTGTGATTTTAGCCTTGTAGGTCTCTTCTATTGTTGTACATTTTTTGGTCAGTTCTTCTTCTTTCCTTGAATGAATCTCTTTTAAGGCTTCTTTTTCTTCCCTTAGTTTGTCCAGTTTTAATTTCAGGTCATCTTGCAAATCGGTTATTTTCTTTTCGTACTCAGTTACAGTTTGTTCGTGAGTTTCGGTTAACTGATTTCTTTCATCAGCAAATTCCTTTTCCGCGTCTTCCTTTTCCTTCTCATATTTTTGTCGCAGTTCTTTCTTGGTGTCTTTTATGAGCTGTTCATACTTATCGATACTGTTAGACAACTCTTCCCTTAAACCTTGAATCTTCTCTTTGTACTTTTCCTCATGACTCTCCATGGCGGCTTCTAAATCTGCCAATTTCTTCTCGTATTTCTCTTTGATTCCAGCTATTTGTTCTTCGTATGCTTTCATTGTGCTTGCATTGGAAGCTTTCAGTTCCTCTATCTGTTTTGAAAAGTTTGATTCTAGTTCTGTCTTTTCTTTGTTGCACTTTTCAGTAATTTCTTCTTTAAGCTCCTTTATTTTCAATTTATGCTGTTTCTCTGACTCAGCCATTTCTTGTCTTAATGCCTCTATTGCTTTCTGGTGTGACTCCTTTAAGCTCTTCCATTCATTTTCCATCTCCTCGACTTTTGCATCCAGTTCTTCTTGGAGAATGACAATCTTTTCTTCGTATTCCTTTACCACTGCATTGTGTGATTCTATCAAGGTAGTCTTTTCTTTGGCCAATGTTTCTTCCATTTCACTCTTTTCTTTATTGAATTTTTCCGTCATCTCGTCTTTCGCATCTTTCAGTTGTTTCTCATGACCCTGTTTCAATGCCAGTATTTCTTGTTCCAGTTTTTCGATGTTGGTTCTATTGGTCTCTTCCAGTCGTTCCTTTTCTTTCTCTATCTGAGCTATCTTAACTTCGTATTCTTGCTGCATGCTAGTGATTTTGGTTTCATAAGCTTTGATCTCCATCTTATGACCTTCAATCAGTTCTTCTCGCTCTTTCATAAAGTTTGCTTCAATCTCGTCTTTCTCTTTTTCCAATTTTTCTAACAGCTCTTGCTCCAGAACTTTCATGTCTTCTTTGTCCTTTTGTTCAAGGGTCGTAAGCTTCTCCTGCCACGATTCAATTTCCGCAGCATGTTTATCTATTAACTGTGTTTTCTCTGCCTCCAATTTCGTAATAGCCAACTTGTTTTCCTTTCTTATTTCTTGGATTCGGACTTCACTTTGCTGGATGAGTTTCTTGTATTTGGCGATCAATTCTTGCTTTTCTGTATCGAACTCGTTTTCCATATCATTCTCCTTCTGTATGTACTCCATCTTTAGCTTATCCTGAAGTTCCTTCATCAATAAGTTGTGGTTTTCTTCAAGCTCTTTGCACCTCCTCTTCAACTCTGCTATTTCCTCCAAAGAACTATTGTAACTTGCCTCAAATTTATCCTTCTGAGTTTTGAGTTGTTCTAACTGTTCTTCGTATTGCTGAGTGATAGAAGTTATCTTAGCCTCGTATTCTTCTAGAGCCTTTTCGTGTGCTGCTATAAGCGACTCTTTCTCTTTTGTGCACGCAGCTTCCATCTCACCCTTTTCTGCTTGGAACTTTTCCGTAAGCTCAATTCTCAAGTTGGCCAGCATTTCTTCGTATTGCTTTTCAAGAGCAGAGCATTTCTCGCGCAGTGTTGTTACCTGTGTAGTGAGGCTAGCATTTTTCTTTTCTAATTTTTCTTTGTCGATTTTTAGTTGCCCTAGCTTCGTTTCGTAATCTTGCTGAATCTGCACTATCTTGATCTCATATTCCTTTGTGCTCTTCTGATATGTCTGCAACAAGGCCTCGTTTTCCGCTCGCAGAATCTGTATCTGTTCCTCGAAATTATCTTGCATTTCATCTTTTTCGCTCGAAAACCTTGCCTCCATCTCTCCCTTCTCCATCTTGCACTTGTTCGTGAGCTCTCTCTTTACATCTTCAATCATTCTAAGATTCTCTATCTCCATGGCGGAAATTTTCTGTTTGAGTCGTTGAACTTCTCTTTGGGACTCATTGTACTTTTTCTGCCAATCGTCTCTCTCTATTTTAAGTTGCCCGAGTTTGACTTCGTAATCCTGGATGATCTTTGTTTTGTTAAGTTCATATTCGGTGACAGATTTTTGGTACATATCGTTAAGGGCTTTCTTCTCTCCTTCCAGCGTTTTTATCCTTTGCTTGAGGGACTCTACTTCTGCACTGTTATCCATTGGAATTGTTCCCACGACCTCCATGTCCCAAGTTCCCCCTTGGTCTTCCATTGGCATTTCGTTGGTGACCACAGAGTAGTTAGTAGGCTCTACGTAGTAAGGACCTCCCCAACCATCTATTGGTTGTGACTCATGAATTTCGACTCCAGACATCTCGGTTATTTTCTTGCTAACTGAATTTAGACGATGGCAAAAAATTTATACGTGGATTCAGTAAATTTATAACGATCGTTGCAAATAGCATTATTTATTTAGAATCATTATTCTTAATCTTTGCAACGATATTCTAAAAATAGGTTGGTGTACCCTGCTACTCCTGAGAAATCCAATGAGTTAATGGCTTAAAGGGACATAGTGAGCTGGCGCACATGCTCATTAGATACCATTTTATAGCTAATTTCCAAACTGTTTTTAAGCAAATATGAAAAAATAATATCATAGGATGACCAAAAGCACACTCAAAAACAGATTTTTCAGTAAACGATTGAAAATCAAGTTAAACACTGCGAAGATTGAAGCGGATTTCTAGATGTACTCGACGGGTATCTTTGATTTTAGGTTGAGTTGAACTCTTTTCAGAAAAAAAGTGTCCAGGTCAACGCGATCCCAAAGCTGAATGTGTCCCTTAAATTGACCACATCGCGCTGTTACATATTTTAAATAGCATATCTGCGCAAAAGCAACCATCAGATGTAATGTATGAAAAAAATCAAATGTCGCCAACATCTTAACACGTACAGTGTATTCCACTAAAATCTTTTTTTTCAGTCCATCACAAATATTAAGGTTTAATGGAGGGCTTACAGTTAGAGATAGGTCTATGCTGAGATATATGTTTGATTGCATCTAAATATTTCATGGTAAAATGGTTTTTAAAAAAAAGATTTTTAGAAAGGAAAACGTCAAAAGAAAATTTAAGTATTGAGATTAACAACAAATATTTTGTCTGAATATTTCATTAACCGTTGATAAACAGTTGCTTTTTAAACAAGTATGTTCTGCGGACTAATTTTCGAGATAGGAAATGAGTACCTGTACTTTGAAATATTGATTGAAATGGGCATATTAATAAGACATTCAAAGCTAACCTCGAACCATTTTTACTCCTTCAGCTATACCAAAATCCTAACCCTAACCTATTTCGTGACATGTAAAATGATTATGTCCCGTTATATTGTACAAATGCTATACTGATGAAGCCAAAGCTTTTCGCATATTGTAGCTAACTTACCTGAGTTAAAGTTCTGGTGTTCCTTCTTTAAATTTTGATTCCTTGGCACTCTTTTTTGCGCACTATAGCTACATCTTTATCAAAACTCTCTTATCAAATGCTTTGGAAATTCAAACTGTTAAGAAAGACTCAGTTGTTTGAAACTCACGGTAAACAGCGGACAAAAAGGTCGACTCTGCTGTTACAACTGGAAAGGCTTGTTGCAGGATGTAAACAGTTCGGTTACAATTTATGTTAATATTTTTAGCGGTACCAAATTAATACAAGACATCAGCCAATCAGAATAGCGTTTGAATTCCCCTTATAACAGGTCACGCGGTGCTGTCACTTGATTATATGAATAATGATGATAATGTATTACATAAGCGCGCGGGGACTGCCTGAACCGTCAATGAAGGTTGAAAATTTCTCAAATTTCTATATTGAATCATTTTTTAATTTGTTTTTCTGATGATGAAATACGTGACGGTTTTAACAAACTTTTAAACTGAGACTGGAAGAGAAATATCTGCCAACTGAACCTCATGCAATCTAATTGAAAGCCGTAGGGTATTAAAAATACGTGAAACCACAAAGCCCTGGGGACATTTGGAAGAATAAACTAAAGCCAGTTGCTACTTTTGCTTTCCTTCCTGTTAAGGACGTTACGGAGCTTCCTCTGTACATCTGTATCATTACCCATTAGCCGGTACCATTACTGTTCCTACTCAAGGGTATAATTTCTCATGTTGACTGGTTGGTCATGATGTTATATTAAAGGGAGGTAATTGCTATCTAAAGGGGCGGTACCGGTTTCTGGATTTAGACTACAGGTGGTTTGGTTAATTCTAATTGAACCCCAGCCAAATCAACCATCCAGTGGTTAATCCTCTCCACAACTGAGAATCTGAAGTAACATATCACTATGTAGTCCAATTACCACCAACTGACGCGTTTCCGATGAGCGGACGCTACCTCGTACGTTTTCAATACAAATAATTAGTTTTTCGTTTTGTGAGTCCATTGAAGAACTGTAAAATCTTTAGAGTTCGCGCTCTAATAGAAACTGATTGATGTTGCTAATGAAACGATTGTTGAAGGGGGACAAATTGACGTCTAAAACGAGCCGATAATGAACAAGGAAGGTGTTCGCAATTACACTTTGATATCTCCCTTTGGAAAATAAGGAAAAATCTTATCGGCGTTTTCCTAACGGTCATTGGCAAAACTGAAAACGGAATGTTTTTTAAAAAAAAAATTATAATAAGGTTGGGCTGATGCCTCGCACTCGCTCCAAACCTTTCCGTACATCCCAGTTAAAGCGGCTTAGGGCTGAAACTGTTTTCGGTTCAAGAACTGTGAAGGGCAATGAAAATTTGTTTGGGGCCGAAGTGTTACATCTTGCCGGGCCTATCTTGGTCTCTGCACAAATAAGCGACGTGAAGTATTTCGTCTTCCCCTCGATGGGGTGTTAGTCCTTCATAGGGTTACCCACAACATTAAAATTCGCCGGTACCCATTTATCCACCTGGGGAGAGAGAGGCAATGTGAGAGTAAAGTAACTTGCCTAAAAACATGAGGCAGTGACCCCTGCCAGGGTTCGAAGACGCACTCCTTGAACAGCAGGTTTAAGTTTATAAGACTTAATTAGATGTGGAATTGGAATAGAAAATGCTCCAATTATTTGAATTACTTATTTGCAGAAAACATTCCCAGAAATTAATTAAGTACGTAAAAAAGTAATTGATTGATTAATTGATTGATTGATTGATTAACTCGAAGATCGATAGCTACACTAGAGAAGACAAAATTACATCGATGTGACTACTCTGAAAACCCTTTATTTACCTTGAATAATAATAAAAGTAAAAGATGTCCGATAGCGCTTAACAGTGAACAAATTTCTTAACTGGTTACCTAAGCTACAAATTACAAATTATAAAACAATAAATTACAATCATATTATAGCAAAATTTCAATTCAAACAATTCAATTAGAAATGCAATAAAATCCTTGACAATAGGATGGCCTACGACTCAATTATACAATTCAATTATATATTTAAAGATATCAAGTTAATTTCAATAAAACAAGAAAAAAATAACCCATTATATTTGGAGACTGTCAATCAGAACTTGACTTCTAAATATACTAACTATTACTAGCGTAATATACCAAAAGAACTACAGTGGCTTATTTGTTGAAAGGCATTTCATAGTCAAATGTCTCAAGTTTCTAACTGAAACACAGGCATTTACGGAATCAATTCAGCAGCATTTTCACCCTGCATAACAAACCAAAAAAACGAATCTAATCAGTCTTATATTAGTCAAACTAGTCGGTTTTAAAGCGTGTACCTCAAGGAACACGTAATTTACCATCTCTAAGAAAATTCATTTTCTATTGCAAAAGGTCACGAACCACGGCTTTCTGATCTCTGTTTCTGTTCGGTTTCAGTTTTATTGATATATTTTGACAAACAAAAAAGTGTTCTACTACACCCTCACCTTCCCATAATGGCCAGTTCTGTACAACGGACGCTTCCCTCTGTCCACAAGGTGGCTGTTGTGGAAAGGTTCGACTGTATATTTATCAAGATAGTAAAACAACTCTTCAACAAATCAATTTTAACTGACTTACATTGTTAACCCTAATTTCATAACTTCCTTGACGCCTCGTTTTAAAACACTGGATCAAGATATTTATAACATTAATCGGGGCAACAAGCAAAGTTTCAGGATATCCCCAAAAAAGTAACCGAAAGATTTTCGATTGTAATTATCCTATCAGAAACATCAAGAATCATGGCTGAAGTGACACCTAAGCTCCATACCATAGCAAGAATTCTTGTGTTCAATATTTTCCCCAAAAAGAGTGCCCCAAGGCAATTCTTGGACAATAAAGTCCATCTGAGGACGGTATTTGTCTCTCGAGTGAAAAAGATCTTTTAATTGCTGTATACACTACCGAAAGGTAAAGATATCATTTTCTGGCGCTATTTCTTAAGATTAGAAATCTGTCGGAGTAGCGCGCGGGATTTGTACTTAAATAGATTCCTAGTTAATACCCACTTGCGACAAATTTTATCACGAAACGTGATGGCGTCACTAGAGTTGACGCAAAGCTATTCAACACACCCATAAGAAATACATAGAGCGATTTTCAATTGAGTGTCGTAAAACCAAAACCAAAACCAATTAGACTTCTCAGGTAATCTCAAACTGTAGTAAAACCAAAACCAAAACCAAAGTAATTGTCTAATTACTTTCGACACTCAACTGAAAACCGCTCTATAGCGTTAAACTAACATATCCTATCCCAAAAGGAGCGGAATGCGCTACTTCTCCTTCTTTTTTTATGTCTTAACAGCTGCAAGACACGTATTTCATCTTCACTTTCCATCATGAAATACATGGTAAAGTAAACAACCTAATCTATATAACCTCCTCAAATTCCTGTAACTATCCAAATGGACTCGCTCAGGAGAACAAAATGAAGTATTTTGCAGACGCACCTCTTTAAAAAACATTCTCAAAAATTGAGACAATAAATAGCAAAAGCGTATCAACATGTAAAGCTCGAACAAAGCGTTATAGCTTAATAAAATTTCCTACAGAAAAATAAATTTAAATAATCTTTTAACGTCAGTGATACAATCAAAATTCCCCTTGGAGATCATCTTTGCAGAGCGTGTCAAATCTTATGTCCGGTGGTGTAGTTTTTTGACTCTACTTCCAATAATTGACTACTAGCTTTAGTTCCTTGTCATTTTTATACATCATTACTACGTTAAAATCCCGCTCTTTGTCACTGCGAGACTTAAATGGCGCCTTTTTTGTGCATTTGATGAATCTGAAGTCATTTCAGGTGGCATTGTTGGTACTAATAGCGATAATTCTCATGTGATATTTTTATTCTAGTTTTTTTTTTTTCCTGAAGAATAATTCATTCTTGTCTTCCCCCTATGTAGCTAAGCCGGAGCTTAAATTGTTGATAATCATGTCAGCTGGGGAGTCGATTGCTGATTCTCTCCTGCACTAAAAGAAGTACTTTTCATGTCTTCTGAAGTGAAATTCCCACCCTCGGTACTCTTTACAAATCGCGTATTTTCGAGATGGCTATTGGCCGAAACATTTCTGCTTCCCAGAGAAGTTCCCATTGCTTGGTTGAACGAGTCAGTGATTGTTGGCTCACTTTGCCGCTGGCCAGTACCCGTGCCTCCAACGACTCCTCCGCTGGATAGTCCACCAGAGCCTGCCAATGGCCTTCCAAGTGCATCCGAAATGCTTCCTGTTGCGTGCATGGTGTATCGAACCCTTTCTAGTATATCGCCATACGATTGTCCAGTACCTATCAAAGACTGGCCATTTGTTGTGTTAAATATGGGAGAAAGGTTTGGCTGAAACACCCTGCTCTCAGATCTCATGCTACCAATGTTTGGACCAAGTGAAAAGTCGTTAGCTCCTCTGATATCTGACTCTCCGTAGTATCCTAGATTTGACCGTAGCACATCGTTTCTGCTTATGCTCTGTAGACGAACGTTGTAAAATACATTACGTAAGTGTTGACGCGACAAACCAATTTCAACATTACATAGTAGGTGCAATGTGTTACTTAATGTATTCGAACCTCAGCGTTTTTGACTTGATAAAGAAAAAGTAGACATGCATTCTGCTTCTTGTAACTTTGGTAGACAGAGAAGAGAGATTAAAACGAGTCTAAGATTTGTTTAGTTATATAAAGTGCCTCACCCACTCCTCCCTAGTAGCCGCCTCCAAATCCTTGTTACGTGTTTCCAAAGTCCTCAGTCTGTCTCCCATAACTCTGAGTTCTCTCTCAAGCCTCTCCGTTTTGGCCTGAAGTGTCATGTTCCTTTGCTCCATTAAGTTAATTTGGTCTTTATACTGTCGAACGTCGGATTGTGATGACTGATGGGATATCTCAGAGCTAGCCTGTTGAGAAACCAAATGAAAAACCTTTCAAAAAAGCATCATCAAACACTTTTAAGCAACTTCGTTTGAGTGATTTATTAGTGAACTCACCAAAGCATTTTTAATTGTGTTTGCCATCATATGTTTCCCAATAACATCAGTTCTTTTCTCCATTTCTTCCCTCGCTTTGCTAAGCTTTCGTTTCATCTCCAGTTGTATTTTCTCCAATTCGTCTTCAAGCTCTTGTTTTTCGTTTTCAAGAGTTTCTTTCAATTCAGTTCTTTCTCTCTTCAGTTTATTAATTTCTTGCTGAAGTTCTCTAATCTTCTCCTCCATTGGGCGTTTCTCGCGATCTACTCGCTCGAAGAACTCTTGTTCCATTTGAATTACTACTCTGTTTCTTGACAACTGCTCTGTTCTTGGACTGGAATTTCCCGACAACTCGTTCTTTAGCAACTTTTCCTGAATTTCTTTTCTCTGATCTTGCAAGAAAGAGATTTGCTTTGTTAAGGCCTTTACTGTTTGCTCAAATTTTTGTTTTTCATCATTCAACGTTTTTCTGTATTCCCGTTCCATTATCATCTTTAACTCTTCCTGGCTTTGGATGAGGGTCTTTTCGGCATTGCGCTTTTCTTCCAGGTATCGCGTTTTCTCACTCTTGTGTTGCATTTCCATTTCTTTGAACTTCCGTTCCGTTAATGACATCTTTCGTCTAAATTCATCGATTGTTCCTTGTAATCTTTTCCTTTCAGAAGCCAACCGTCCTTCGTTATCTTCTCTTATCCGAGATAGTTCGTCATCTTTATCTCTTGCAACTCTATCGCGCAAATTGTTCTTTTCTACCTCATGAATTCTGGTAAGCTTCTCCACTTCCTTTTTGTAACAGTTCTTTAATTGTTGTTTCTCGCATTTAAGAGCATTGACTTCCTTTGTGAGAGCATGTATTGTTTCCATTAGCTTCCTTTTCTCGCTTTGCATCTGGTGTTGCAATTCTCTTTTTTCCTCCTCAAACTTTGAATGTTGATCTCTCAGTTCACCTTGGAAATTTTGCCCCCTCCTACGCATTCTCTCATTATCGTCCGTACCATATTGCTTTCTTTGTGGAACCGACATATCAGCCATGTTGCCAGAAGCATTTTGATTTCCATGCTCAACCTGGAAAACATTTCCTTGTCTTGGCATCCTGCTTTCTTCGTTAAAACTGTATTGATTCTTCTGTGTGCCAACAACAGCATCAAAACCACTTTGATTGCCCTGTTCAACTAACCAATTTTGCCTTGACATCCGAGTATCATCGTCAAAATCATATCGGTTCCTCTGTGTGGGTGACACGCCAACCATAGCTTTCGAACCATTCCGTTCCGCAGTGCGAAGTCTTTCCTCGAAGTCGGCCCTTTCTTTGAACAGCTTGTCACTAAGAAAGTCTTGTTCTTTTCTGTGTTTTCTCTTCAAGTCGTCTATTTCGTCTTCAAGCAAACGACGATAGCCTGTGAGCTTCTCTTTGGCCTCTCTCACCTCGTCCTCTAACTTTGCCTTTTCCCTTGAGGCACGATTTAAAATTTCTCTCTTTTCTTCGTTGAATCTTCTCTCCATTTCTTGAATTGTAGTCTCTGGCTCCCCTTCCCTAGACTGTCCATTATAGTTTTCTCTTCTCGTAATACTGGATTCGAAAGCCATTGTATCCCTTGCTCCGTTATCCCTTATTCCACTGGTTGATAGTGGCCCCCAGACTGTGTTTTTGACATTGCTATCATTTCCATATGCTCCTGGGGCATTTGCCGACCTTGCATCTCCCCCCCGGATGCTAGACTCAACGTCTCGAAGCCGCTTTTGTAGACTGCTGTTTTCCTTTTCAAAGTAATCTTCTAACGACTGTTTTTCTCTCTGAAACTCTTCTGACATTCGTCGCTTTTGTGCTTCAAGGTTCCTGAGGTCATCTGCATGCTTTTTATTGACATCTCGTAGCATTGCCTCTAGGTTTTCAACTTCTTGTTTTAATTTGTCATCTTTAGAATGAACATCCTGGCTTCTAAAATCCCCTGATATACCATATGAGTTTAAAGCATGGGAAGACGATGTCCCGTTTAAGCCTCTACTCTGGGGCCCAACGTTCGCCGATATTTGGTCTTCTAACCGCTGAATTTTCTCTTCAAGTTTTCTCGTTGTGTCTGTTTGTACTTGAAGTTTTTTCTCGCAAGCCTCTCTCATTTTTGTTACTTCTTCTACAGCTCTTGCTTTTTCGTTTTCGTAATTTCTTACCAAAGAAATCTTTTCCTGTCTGAAGGAATCTTCAATATCTTGGATTTTGCGGGTGAAGCGTTCAGTTTCGTCTGTAAGCTTCCTGTTACGCCTCTCAACTTCGTCTAGAGTACGAGATAAGTGATCAACCTCGCGAGTTAGATTCCTTTGAGCAGCCAAAAGTTCATCTCGCTTTCGAGTCAGATGGGTGACCTCTTCGTCAAGATCGTCGTTTCTCCTCTTTAGCTCTTTGTTTCGCTTGGCTTCTTTTTTCAANAGCATTTTCACCCTGCATAACAAACCAAAAAAACGAATCTAATCAGTCTTATATTAGTCAAACTAGTCGGTTTTAAAGCGTGTACCTCAAGGAACACGTAATTTACCATCTCTAAGAAAATTCATTTTCTATTGCAAAAGGTCACGAACCACGGCTTTCTGATCTCTGTTTCTGTTCGGTTTCAGTTTTATTGATATATTTTGACAAACAAAAAAGTGTTCTACTACACCCTCACCTTCCCATAATGGCCAGTTCTGTACAACGGACGCTTCCCTCTGTCCACAAGGTGGCTGTTGTGGAAAGGTTCGACTGTATATTTATCAAGATAGTAAAACAACTCTTCAACAAATCAATTTTAACTGACTTACATTGTTAACCCTAATTTCATAACTTCCTTGACGCCTCGTTTTAAAACACTGGATCAAGATATTTATAACATTAATCGGGGCAACAAGCAAAGTTTCAGGATATCCCCAAAAAAGTAACCGAAAGATTTTCGATTGTAATTATCCTATCAGAAACATCAAGAATCATGGCTGAAGTGACACCTAAGCTCCATACCATAGCAAGAATTCTTGTGTTCAATATTTTCCCCAAAAAGAGTGCCCCAAGGCAATTCTTGGACAATAAAGTCCATCTGAGGACGGTATTTGTCTCTCGAGTGAAAAAGATCTTTTAATTGCTGTATACACTACCGAAAGGTAAAGATATCATTTTCTGGCGCTATTTCTTAAGATTAGAAATCTGTCGGAGTAGCGCGCGGGATTTGTACTTAAATAGATTCCTAGTTAATACCCACTTGCGACAAATTTTATCACGAAACGTGATGGCGTCACTAGAGTTGACGCAAAGCTATTCAACACACCCATAAGAAATACATAGAGCGATTTTCAATTGAGTGTCGTAAAACCAAAACCAAAACCAATTAGACTTCTCAGGTAATCTCAAACTGTAGTAAAACCAAAACCAAAACCAAAGTAATTGTCTAATTACTTTCGACACTCAACTGAAAACCGCTCTATAGCGTTAAACTAACATATCCTATCCCAAAAGGAGCGGAATGCGCTACTTCTCCTTCTTTTTTTATGTCTTAACAGCTGCAAGACACGTATTTCATCTTCACTTTCCATCATGAAATACATGGTAAAGTAAACAACCTAATCTATATAACCTCCTCAAATTCCTGTAACTATCCAAATGGACTCGCTCAGGAGAACAAAATGAAGTATTTTGCAGACGCACCTCTTTAAAAAACATTCTCAAAAATTGAGACAATAAATAGCAAAAGCGTATCAACATGTAAAGCTCGAACAAAGCGTTATAGCTTAATAAAATTTCCTACAGAAAAATAAATTTAAATAATCTTTTAACGTCAGTGATACAATCAAAATTCCCCTTGGAGATCATCTTTGCAGAGCGTGTCAAATCTTATGTCCGGTGGTGTAGTTTTTTGACTCTACTTCCAATAATTGACTACTAGCTTTAGTTCCTTGTCATTTTTATACATCATTACTACGTTAAAATCCCGCTCTTTGTCACTGCGAGACTTAAATGGCGCCTTTTTTGTGCATTTGATGAATCTGAAGTCATTTCAGGTGGCATTGTTGGTACTAATAGCGATAATTCTCATGTGATATTTTTATTCTAGTTTTTTTTTTTTCCTGAAGAATAATTCATTCTTGTCTTCGTCCTATGTAGCTAAGCCGGAGCTTAAATTGTTGATAATCATGTCAGCTGGGGAGTCGATTGCTGATTCTCTCCTGCACTAAAAGAAGTACTTTTCATGTCTTCTGAAGTGAAATTCCCACCCTCGGTACTCTTTACAAATCGCGTATTTTCGAGATGGCTATTGGCCGAAACATTTCTGCTTCCCAGAGAAGTTCCCATTGCTTGGTTGAACGAGTCAGTGATTGTTGGCTCACTTTGCCGCTGGCCAGTACCCGTGCCTCCAACGACTCCTCCGCTGGATAGTCCACCAGAGCCTGCCAATGGCCTTCCAAGTGCATCCGAAATGCTTCCTGTTGCGTGCATGGTGTATCGAACCCTTTCTAGTATATCGCCATACGATTGTCCAGTACCTATCAAAGACTGGCCATTTGTTGTGTTAAATATGGGAGAAAGGTTTGGCTGAAACACCCTGCTCTCAGATCTCATGCTACCAATGTTTGGACCAAGTGAAAAGTCGTTAGCTCCTCTGATATCTGACTCTCCGTAGTATCCTAGATTTGACCGTAGCACATCGTTTCTGCTTATGCTCTGTAGACGAACGTTGTAAAATACATTACGTAAGTGTTGACGCGACAAACCAATTTCAACATTACATAGTAGGTGCAATGTGTTACTTAATGTATTCGAACCTCAGCGTTTTTGACTTGATAAAGAAAAAGTAGACATGCATTCTGCTTCTTGTAACTTTGGTAGACAGAGAAGAGAGATTAAAACGAGTCTAAGATTTGTTTAGTTATATAAAGTGCCTCACCCACTCCTCCCTAGTAGCCGCCTCCAAATCCTTGTTACGTGTTTCCAAAGTCCTCAGTCTGTCTCCCATAACTCTGAGTTCTCTCTCAAGCCTCTCCGTTTTGGCCTGAAGTGTCATGTTCCTTTGCTCCATTAAGTTAATTTGGTCTTTATACTGTCGAACGTCGGATTGTGATGACTGATGGGATATCTCAGAGCTAGCCTGTTGAGAAACCAAATGAAAAACCTTTCAAAAAAGCATCATCAAACACTTTTAAGCAACTTCGTTTGAGTGATTTATTAGTGAACTCACCAAAGCATTTTTAATTGTGTTTGCCATCATATGTTTCCCAATAACATCAGTTCTTTTCTCCATTTCTTCCCTCGCTTTGCTAAGCTTTCGTTTCATCTCCAGTTGTATTTTCTCCAATTCGTCTTCAAGCTCTTGTTTTTCGTTTTCAAGAGTTTCTTTCAATTCAGTTCTTTCTCTCTTCAGTTTATTAATTTCTTGCTGAAGTTCTCTAATCTTCTCCTCCATTGGGCGTTTCTCGCGATCTACTCGCTCGAAGAACTCTTGTTCCATTTGAATTACTACTCTGTTTCTTGACAACTGCTCTGTTCTTGGACTGGAATTTCCCGACAACTCGTTCTTTAGCAACTTTTCCTGAATTTCTTTTCTCTGATCTTGCAAGAAAGAGATTTGCTTTGTTAAGGCCTTTACTGTTTGCTCAAATTTTTGTTTTTCATCATTCAACGTTTTTCTGTATTCCCGTTCCATTATCATCTTTAACTCTTCCTGGCTTTGGATGAGGGTCTTTTCGGCATTGCGCTTTTCTTCCAGGTATCGCGTTTTCTCACTCTTGTGTTGCATTTCCATTTCTTTGAACTTCCGTTCCGTTAATGACATCTTTCGTCTAAATTCATCGATTGTTCCTTGTAATCTTTTCCTTTCAGAAGCCAACCGTCCTTCGTTATCTTCTCTTATCCGAGATAGTTCGTCATCTTTATCTCTTGCAACTCTATCGCGCAAATTGTTCTTTTCTACCTCATGAATTCTGGTAAGCTTCTCCACTTCCTTTTTGTAACAGTTCTTTAATTGTTGTTTCTCGCATTTAAGAGCATTGACTTCCTTTGTGAGAGCATGTATTGTTTCCATTAGCTTCCTTTTCTCGCTTTGCATCTGGTGTTGCAATTCTCTTTTTTCCTCCTCAAACTTTGAATGTTGATCTCTCAGTTCACCTTGGAAATTTTGCCCCCTTCTACGCATTCTCTCATTATCGTCCGTACCATATTGCTTTCTTTGTGGAACCGACATATCAGCCATGTTGCCAGAAGCATTTTGATTTCCATGCTCAACCTGGAAAACATTTCCTTGTCTTGGCATCCTGTTTTCTTCGTTAAAACTGTATTGATTCTTCTGTGTGCCAACAACAGCATCAAAACCACTTTGATTGCCCTGTTCAACTAACCAATTTTGCCTTGACATCCGAGTATCATCGTCAAAATCATATCGGTTCCTCTGTGTGGGTGACACGCCAACCATAGCTTTCGAACCATTCCGTTCCGCAGTGCGAAGTCTTTCCTCGAAGTCGGCCCTTTCTTTGAACAGCTTGTCACTAAGAAAGTCTTGGTCTTTTCTGTGTTTTCTCTTCAAGTCGTCTATTTCGTCTTCAAGCAAACGACGATAGCTTGTGAGCTTCTCTTTGGCCTCTCTCACCTCGTCCTCTAACTTTGCCTTTTCCCTTGAGGCACGATTTAAAATTTCTCTCTTTTCTTCGTTGAATCTTCTCTCCATTTCTTGAATTGTAGTCTCTGGCTCCCCTTCCCTAGACTGTCCATTATAGTTTTCTCTTCTCGTAATACTGGATTCGAAAGCCATTGTATCCCTTGCTCCGTTATCCCTTATTCCACTGGTTGATAGTGGCCCCCAGACTGTGTTTTTGACATTGCTATCATTTCCATTTGCTCCTGGGGCATTTGCCGACCTTGCATCTCCCCCCCGGATGCTAGACTCAACGTCTCGAAGCCGCTTTTGTAGACTGCTGTTTTCCTTTTCAAAGTAATCTTCTAACGACTGTTTTTCTCTCTGAAACTCTTCTGACATTCGTCGCTTTTGTGCTTCAAGGTTCCTGAGGTCATCTGCATGCTTTTTATTGACATCTCGTAGCATTGCCTCTAGGTTTTCAACTTCTTGTTTTAATTTGTCATCTTTAGAATGAACAACCTGGCTTCTAAAATCCCCTGATATACCATATGAGTTTAAAGCATGGGAAGACGATGTCCCGTTTAAGCCTCTACTCTGGGGCCCAACGTTCGCCGATATTTGGTCTTCTAACCGCTGAATTTTCTCTTCAAGTTTTCTCGTTGTGTCTGTTTGTACTTGAAGTTTTTTCTCGCAAGCCTCTCTCATTTTTGTTACTTCTTCTACAGCTCTTGCTTTTTCGTTTTCGTAATTTCTTACCAAAGAAATCTTTTCCTGTCTGAAGGAATCTTCAATATCTTGGATTTTGCGGGTGAAGCGTTCAGTTTCGTCTGTAAGCTTCCTGTTACGCCTCTCAACTTCGTCTAGAGTACGAGATAAGTGATCAACCTCGCGAGTTAGATTCCTTTGAGCAGCCAAAAGTTCATCTCGCTTTCGAGTCAGATGGGTGACCTCTTCGTCAAGATCGTCGTTTCTCCTCTTTAGCTCTTTGTTTCGCTTGGCTTCTTTTTTCAAATCCTCGAGTTTCTCCTGAAGGTCTACTATTTCACTTTGTAATTCCTTTTGCGTTATTGCCCGTTCGTTGTTATTTCTTGAAGGCACCTTCGTTTCATTTCGATTCGAAGAAGTCTCATTATTCTTTAAATTGTCAAAAACATCTTCGTTACGACCATTTCTGTTACCAGAGAGAATTTCATTCATCTTGTATAAAAGTTTCTTGTTTTCCATCTCTAGTGTTTCTCGCCGTCGAATTTCGTCGGTTAGCTGTTGCTGAAAATCACTGTTACCCCAACCAGGTGTTGTATTCACTTCCCTTTGACCGCCTGTAAAGCTGAAATTATTTTCCTGGTTGGAAAAGAGCCCACTTTTAAAAGCTTCAGCTTCTTGTCTGCGTTTAGTTTCCTCTATCAGCGACCTCTGCAATTTGCTTATTTGTGTGAGATATTCCTGGGTAATTTCGTTAGCTTGTCTTTCTATCATGGCCTTAATTTCCATTCTTTCGCGAGTGAAATCCTCTTGCAATCTTTGGTTTCTTTCTTTAAGGTCCATGATATCGCTTAGCAAGTACTTCATATCACTGGCGAGTCTCAGCTTACTTCTTCTCTCATCTTCGTACCTTTGACGAGCCATTTCAGTATCTTGGTATTCCACCTCTATCCCATGATATCGATCTCTGCCACTGGTTGATGAAGTTCTCAGCTCTTCTCTAAGTCTACCCCTCTCTTCTTCCAGCCGTTCTATTTTGGATTTTAAGTCTTTTTCTTGATTCTTTGCAAGCATTGTATTTGAAAGCTGAGTTTGTAGTCTCATTTCCATTCCTTGAATTTCGTCTGAATGTCTTTTCTTGAGGTTTGCAATCTCGTCGTCCTTCTCTTCGAGGATTCGTTCGTTGTCTTTTAAAGATCTCTCCAATTTCCGGGCTTTCTCTTTCAAACGAGACATCTCTGTTGTTGATTCCCTTCTTATCTCCTCTATCCTCTCTTGTTGATGCTTGTTTGTTCTTTTCATCTCTTTTATTGTTCCCTCTTGCCTCGCTCTTTCTCTTTTTAGCTCAATAAATTCATTTTCCCTCGCTAAACCAAGCTCGATATTTTTCAGACTTTCTTGGCTCTCGTTCTTCTTGCTCAAAACGTCAAGAATTGCTCTAAATTCTCTGTTTTCCTTCTCTAATACACGGATGTTTTTCCTATATTCTAGGATCTCTTCTCCGTCATCACCTTGGTCTAATGTCATACTACTTATGTCTAATGTGTGGGTCGTCATTCTTGACTTTGTCCAGTCATTCAGTTTGCTCTGCAACAACTCATTGTCCCTTCTTAGGGAGCGAATGGTTTCATCAAATCGATTAATACTGTCCAACATTCCTTGATATCTTTCTTCAAGATAAATCTTTTCGTCGTTTTCATTTCGATATTCTTTTTCAAACTCTTCCTTCTGCCTCTTCTCTGCTTCATATGCTTTTTCCAAACGTTCCTTCTCACGCTTTATTTGATCACATTTAGACTTGTAGTACTCATAGTCAGCTGACATCTGGTTTGAATTTCTAAGAGTTTCTCTTGCACCGCCATGGATATCACAAACATAGTTGTAACCACAGCCACGCACATCGCCGTATTCGTCCAGTGAAACCTCGCGTGAACTTGTGATGTACTCTATCAAGCTGCTGTAATCTTTTGCGATATCGCAGCAATGGTGGTGATCTTGAGGAATGGTTAATTGTTCTCTGTGTGAAATTAACTCTGTTTCTTTTTCATGGCGTAGCGCATCATAACGTGCTTCTAGGAACTCTTTGTCTTTCTCAAGTCTGCTAATCCTCTCCACAAATTGATCTATTAGTATGTCATGATGGCAGGTTACTTTTTGTGTTACGGGAGACCTGATTTCCTGTGTTTGTTTAGACGTATTTGTTTCATCTTCGGTATCCTTATCAACTTCTCCTGATTTCGGCAGGTCCTTCTTGCTCTCGATTTCTTTTCCTGGTTCTGTAATTGTTCCATTCGGTTCTCCAGTCGTTTTTGTAGTTACAGTGTTCCTATCATGGTTTTTGTCATTCTCCTGTAAAGAAGTATCTTGGATGACTTCACTGGAATCAATGAGGCCTACTTCTTCTATGCTCCAGCTTTGGTCAGGGTCTTTCTCGTCTACAGTTCCAATGACTTCCACACTCCAGTTTTGTTCTGGTTCTTTTTCTCCTATCTCTCCTATTTTCTCTATGGTCCAAGTAGATTCTGTTTTATTTGGCACACCTGAATCCTCTAGTTTCTTTTCCGCAGGCAACTTCTCCTCTTGAATGTCATTTGTGTCTAGTGGCATTTCTTTGACTTCAATCTCTTCCATGGGCAGTTGTTGTTCTTCACTAGAATCAATAGTACCTACTTCTTCTGTACTCCAGCTTTGGTCAGGGCCTTCCTCGTCTACAGTTCCAATGACTTCCACACTCCAGTTTTGTTCAGGTTCTTGTTCCCCTATCTCTCCTATTTCCTCTGTGGTCCAAGAGTCTGCGATATTTGGCACATCTGAATCCTCTAATGTCTTTTCCGGAGGCAACTGCTCCTCTTGAATGTCATTTGTGTCTGATAGCATTTCTTTAATTTCAATCGCTTCTGTGGGCAGCTGTTGTTCTTCACTGCAATCAATAGTACCTACTTCTTCTATATTCCAGCTTTGCTGCTCCTGTGTATCTACCCCTTCCGCAAACCCGTTCATCTGACTACTTTGCATATACCCTGGAATTTCCTGCATGGACATTTTTTGCATAGCCATTTCACCTCCCGTAGGCATTTCTTGGACAGTCGTTTCTCCTCCCATAGGCATTTCTTGCACAGTCATTTCTCCTCCCATAGGCGTTTCTTGCACAATCATTTCTCCTCCCGTAGGCGTTTCTTGCATCGTCGTTTCTCCCAGAGGCATTTCTTGCATCGTCGTTACTCCTCCCACAGACATTTCTTGCACAGTCATTTCTCCTCCTGCAGGCATTTCTTGCACAGTCATTTCTCCTCCCATAGGCGTTTCTTGCATCGTCATTTCTCCTCCCGTAGGCATTTCTTGCATCGTCGTTTCTCTTCCCATAGGCATTTCTTGCACAGTCATTTCTCCTCCCATAGGCATTTCTTGCACAGTCATTTCTCCTCCCATAGGCATTTCTTGCATCGTCATTTCTCC